GGGGGGGTGTCATTAGTCAAGGTGTCTGGTCCTGAGGCAGCCAGGGGCCACTTATCTGGTTTCCCTGCTTATCTGGGCCTGGAGCTGAAATAAAACTGAGGCCTAGATATTATCTTCAGGGAGGAAATGCTCAGGGGGTCTAAACCTCAATATGCTAGAGGAGGGTAGATTACCCTGGGGACAAGGTTCTTGTTTCCTAGTTTCACCCCTTGCTAAGCACCTGGGGCTTCCTGCCCGGGTGAGTCTTTATACCCTAGTTTCTGTACCTGGCCCATCTAACAATTCTATGTGTGCAAAATGTAGTAAAGCCGGACGCTCATGGAAAAGTTGTTGCAGCTACTGGCCCAGGCCAGGATTTGAGACTAATCTGTTGGAATGTTCGCTGTGAGCTGCTTGCAGGCATATCTGTTTCCACAACGCTTGGCACACAATATATGCTCAGTGTATGCAGGATGACTGACTGAATAATAGGCAATTAGTTTGCAAGATGCCAAGAAGTCCTGCAGAAAGAAACCTGCCACTCTGTTTACTATGCATATCTCAAATTTACTTTCACTGGTAGCCCATTTTCAGAAACACCTATTAACATTCCATGAAAATAGGGCAGACTCTGGTTTAGAAAGTGGTCTTCACGGGTCCTGTAACCAGAGTGATCCGATCTTCATATGGGAATCTCAAATCCGGGACTCTGTTTGGGTAATTAGGAGAAATTGTTTCTGCTCAGACTCCCTGTATCCCTGAGGGCCTGCAAACTCCTCGAGGGGACATATTTGAATACCTTAACTATAGGAGCTGTTGTTATTGCTAAGGTGTTCATTTTTCTTCTTCCCCTGGCAGTGCCCAACAGGCCGATGGCCCCCTCCAGGGCAATGGGAGTCTGAGTTGTTTGCCAATTAGCATGTTCCTGTGGATTTTTCGAATGTCTTTGTTCCAAGGCAAGGAGGAAGTGCTAAGGAGGAGACTGAAGGAGTTTGAAGCTGGCATAAGACTGAGTTCCCCTGCAGGGGCAATGTTGACTAGCTGAAGCCCTAGAGCTCTTTTCTGCAAAAAAAAAAAGCCTCCTGGGTTCTGGAAGGTCTGCCTTTGCCAGCTTCAAGGGAAGGGGGAAGCTGGGAGGAGGGGCTTTGTCACCCCTCTGCAAGAACATTCTCAGAATGCAGACCCTGCTGTCTGCTCAGGAGCCCCAAGAGTGGCCTGTAGCCCCAAAGGAGTGGAATTCATTGGATCAAGTACAGGATCTACATGGCTGCATCCCTTGAACTAGAATGTGGCACCAAACCCTTTGTCTTTATTTTGGGTCTTCGCATCAATGCTGGATCAATAGGGAAAACCATTCTGTTACATTCGTCAAAGACCCGACCCCTATGAAATAAAGGCAGAAAATCACAAGGAGAAGAGGGACAGACATTCTTTCAAAAGCCACAGAATGAGCTAAAAAAAAAAAAAAAAGGAAA